ACCAAGTTTTCCAGTGTTTAGCATAACAAATAATAACAATTTGGTAAGCAAAAAAAAAGATTGTTTACTTTTTACTAAATAGATTCAATAGATGTGCAACGCTGTTCTAGCTCAATGTCTGTTTTAGAGTCTTTCCAGTCTAGTCTTTTTTCGAAAAGAATCTATCCAGGCACATAGATTATCAGTCGAAGTCCCGATTCGGAAAGTTGGTCTTCTGATTTGAATCTTTTATTGTGCATATCGTTGTAATCTCGGCTCATCAAATGATTTTTCAACAGTTCTAGATCATCTCTATATGTTTTTCATTCTAGACTCAGAATCGAATATAAACTATTTTTAGCAAGTGGTTATCATACAGTTCCATCCATTTAAATAGAAGAAGAAAGCTTTAAACTCTAATTTCCTGATGACACCTATCATTAGAATAGCTCGTTCGATAAAACACAAAAAATAAATGAATTTATTTCTTATCGAGTTAAATAAAAGACTGAAGACGATGAAGTTAAGGCAAATTAAAAATATCAACTTATAATTTAACTAGTCATCGTGAGTGAGTAACTCTCTTATGGATTTATAATGTAATTTAACCTTTTGAATAGCATTTTATGATAAAAAAAAAATCAAATTTTATTAATTAGATTGTTTTGATTAACATTCATGGAAGAAAGAATCATGCAAGAATCAGCATTTGTACTCGAAAAGAACTCTATTCATTAGATATTGTAATTAGTTTAGAGTGATATCCTGTATATACACTATTGAATCTATTTAGTAAAAAGTAAACAATCTTTTTTTTTGCTTACCAAATTGTTATTATTTGTTATGCTAAACACTGGAAAACTTGGTACTGATTTATATTGTTGTTCATAACGAAATCGATCATTACCACAAAGCCCATATCCTTCATAAAGATAGTTTAAATTCATCGTAAATCTTCTTTGGATTGTTTTTAGTTGATACTTGTATTTTCACTCTAGAATAATTCTGTTTTTTTTATTGTTTAATGAAATGATATACGTTGTTATTTCCACCTCTGTCATGAAATAATTAAAATAGATTGTCTGTTGTTTCAGTGCTGGTTTTCTTTCTCTTCTGGATTTTTTTCTGTACTTGCGCATTTTTTTTTTACAGATGAAGAAAACAAACGAAGATCTCATAGATGAACAAAATGGAAAAAAGCGGGTTAAAGTATGATAAGAACAGAATTAATTCTTATGCGTGACGTGTCTGTACTCTTATTTTGCCTGATACTAAACCTTCTTTCTTTCTTTTTCTTAAATTATGATGTTTTTATCAATAAGACAGAAGTAGTTCTTTATCTTCACTAAAAATAGATATATATATACTATCAATTGTGAGTGTGTATCACAAGTGTAGTACTATAATAACTTTACTTCTTTTGAATTGTGTAATTCCTCCACGATTGTAAGGAGAACGTGATCGCGACATACTTTGAGTGAATGTAATGGGATTGCGGAGTGGAAACCATGTTCGTGTTGCGACTGAAGCAAGAAAGTCAACTTGTGTGTGATTCAAAAGCGCGAAGGTTTACAACAAGACGCTGCAAGAGATTCTTAATTTTTAAGAAGTGTAATAGAAACTTATAGCGAATCGCGATGACTATAAGACAAAATTGTCACGTCGCGATTGTGAATCACAAATTTTTTGTAAGAAAAGAGTTACTCGCGATCGCATCGCGACAACAGCAACTTCTAAGCGATCGTGACACGACTCCGCGATCACTATAAGAAAAAGTTGTTACGCCCCGACTGCGAATTACAATTCTTTTTGAAAAATAAGAGTTGATCGCGGTCACACCGCGACAATAGCAACTTTCGAACGAGAGCCGCGTTCGCGACATGAATGAAGCAAGAAAGTGGAGTTGGGCATAGTTTACATAAATGTTAATAAACGTATATATGGGGACAGGATGTTCTCTTAGTATTCAAGTAGCGAAAACATATAAATATAGAAGTAGACTTATTTATAGATGTTCTCTATGCGAAAATGCGTTAGTTCTGACCGGTTTTAGAAATGATTTTGGATAATCTCATAGTTTACAAATAACCGATGTAAATGTTTTTGTTAATATGCATTTAGACAACTGGTCAATACACTTATTTTTATCATATTTTCGGTTTACAATACTCATGGGAAAATTTTAGTATATAAAATGCCGTGCACACGTGTGAGTATCATGAAATGAACTGTAGTAACACATGAACATCGTAAGTGTGTGGGCACGCATAAAAAAATATATTCCACTATTGACAACGCGTGAACTGTTCACGGAAACTTTTTGAGTCATACTTACACGTGGTCACTAGTGAAAATCATACAATGGTGTGTGAACATACGTGAAAAGAAATCCTCACTTGTAAATGCGTGTGAAATTATAGAAAGTTCACACATGACCACGCATTTGGTGTTGCAACTGCACGATCCCAACATCGTGAAACTTCGACAAAATTTCCCCATGGGTACGACATCTCTAAGCATACAAGTTATTTATGTAGCTAACTCGATTATTTCATATAATGTTAACATTTCGTACAGTTGATGTCAAAATTAAACGTCAGACAAAATAAAAACTATTTTGTTTTTCTTTATTTATGAGTAAGTTGAAAGAAGACAGTTAAATATTTTAATACCCTCGTGACAGCGAGAGCATTACATATCAGCTAACTATAAGCAAAATATTAGCTTTCTTATAGTCGGTCGTAGCCTTCTTATTAATGACTTGACTATGTATTTTTAAACTAGATTCTTTTTTTGTACAAGTTAAAATTGAGCACAGCTTCTCTTTTCTCGCTTTCTTTCGGACGCTTTTTGAACAGATGCACCTTTTCTATAGGATATTTGTAAACTACGAAAACATCCCCAACCACCTAGAATCACACTAATTTCTTTTTACAGATGTCTGGATCGATCGAGATCGACCAGAAGATTAAGAAGCCATGGGTGAGAATTTTTGAAACCTTCAAAAAACATAAAAGAATGTAAATTTGATAAAAACCGTCTACTTCTTTATAGATTTCTTAATGATGAATGTAAGGTGTGCATACTGCAAAATTAAAGCAAAATGTTTTTCTTAAGTTATTATACATCGTTGGATGGAACTTATCGAGTTGATTAAGAAAATGAATGTATTTTTTAATGTCGAAAACTTGAAAATTCTTTAATATCTCAGCTCTAGATTGTTTCGAAGCTTTCAAACAATTTTTTTCGGATTCAGGCTTAAAAAATGAATAGAAAAATAGTGTTTGATCAATCTCGAAATTAAAAGTGTGGCGAGCATGGATGTCCCAAAGCAGCAGTCTAAAGTGCGTAGTACGCACTGCGTACACACAGTTTTGTATACTTTGCATTTGAAAAGATGTTTCGAAACATCAGATGCGGAAGATCTGATATCATAAAAACTGTAATATGAGGAAAGTCATAGCCATATTAATCAGAATCAATTCAAACTTATTTATACGTGTTCTCTATGCCAAAATGCACTAGTTCTGACTGGTTTTAGAAGTGGTTTTGGATAGTCTCGTAGTTTACAAACATCCGCGAAGATACTTGTGGACATTCAGTCAAAAATTAAAACAAACTAAAGCATTTTTCAGTCTAACTAATTTTCTCAAGAGACGTTTCCAGTATATGCTCACTCGGTTCATCTACCACCTGGCTCAAACTTTAGTGTTTTTCTATGTGCATCGCATCTATAGTGTTAGTGTTTCATTCAAATGTACAAATCACGGTACATGAAACTCTGAATCCGAGAAAAAAAGGGAAATCTTGTCTAAAAGTTGAGCATAACAGTTTTGTTTAGCGTTTCGTTTATTTTATCAT